TTCCTTAAAAAACTAAAAGTAGAACTACCATATGATCCAGCAATCCCACTACTGGGCATATACCCTGAGAAAACCATAATTCAAAATGAGTCATGTACCACAGTGTTCACTGCAGCAGTATTTACAATAGCCAGGACATGGAAGCAACCTAAGTGTTCATCGACAGAGGAATGTATAAAGAAGATGTGGCACATATATACAATGGAATATTAGTCAGCCATAAAAAGAAATGAAATTGAGTTATTTGTAGTGAGGTGGATGGACCCAGAGTCAGTCGTACAGAGTGAAGTAAGTCCGAAAGAGAAAAACAAATACCATATGCTAACACATATATATAGAATTAAAAAAAAAAAAAGGTCCTGAAGAACCTAGGGGCAGGACAGGAATAAAGAAGCGACACAGAGAATGGACTTGAGGACACAGGGAGGGGGAAGGGTAAGCTGGGATGAAGTGAGAGAGTGGCATGGACTCATATATACAACCAAATGTAAAATAGATAGCTAGTGGGAAGCAGCTGCATAGCACAGGGAGATCAGCTCGGTGCTTTGTTACCACCTAGAGGGGTGGGATAGGGAGGGTGGGAAGGAGACGCAAGAGGGAGGGGATATGAGGATATAAGTATACGTATAGCTGATTCACTTTGTCATACAGCAGCAACTAACACACCACTGTAAAGGAACTATACTCCAATAAAGATGTTTAAAAAAAAAGTGAGCTTAAAGTCACTGGGCTTATCAGAATTTTTACACAGAAACAGGGGAAGTTTACTTCCACTATTAAACCTGTTTTAAAGGGACACTGGAGAACTAAAATGAAATTATGTTTTGATCAACATTGTGAGGAGTGCTTAATCAATATATTGCTTTCATACATAAACAAATCAGTCTTTGGGAAACTACTGGTGCCATGTGGGATTTGAGGTGGTAGAAAAATCCCTTTTTCCTAGGAAAGTGCTGTGACATCAATTATCCATTTATTCTGTTCTATTTCCTTTATAGCACATTATCTGTATCTGAAATTATCATGTTCACTTGCTAATTTATTTATTATCTCTCTGTAGGGTAAAGTTACTTGAAAAAGTAAGCTACCCGAGAGCAGGGAGTTGGTCTGCTTTGTTCACTGGACATACCCCCAGGGCACAGACCTTTAAAGTAGGTTTTCAGCAAGCACAGTAAGTTGAAGAAAGAGCACAAAGTGGCTCGTACCCGGGTAGAGGTTGTGGACTGCCATTTTATACTCCTCCTTTTTCCGTACAGTGAACACATGTCCACTGAAATGAATAGAATGGATATTTTCATTGCTGCCCATGCTGAGCAGATACCATCGGATCTTTTGATCCTGAGCCATTGCTAAACCAGGTAGTGTATCCATCACATAGCCATTGATTGCTGGAGAAAGAACACAGAGAAAGCTGTTAAAATCTATTGTATAAGTGTCTTTCCCTCCACTCCAGTCAAAAAATATTGATCCCTATGAGGATTCCACTCCCATACATATAGTCTCAAATCATACAATGTCGAAACCTCAGGCTCAAGGTTCATTTCACAGCGAGTAATATTTGGGTGTGGAATATATTACCATGGAAGCGATACTTTTCTCTAAAAGTGGGGTCCTCCATCTGGATGTTGCAGGGAGCCCTGCAGTTCCTTTCCATGTTTTCAGTGAAGTACCAGCTCTTGGTCTCATCAAAAATAGTGAAAAACAGAGCAAATTCCTGCACTGTCACTTGTCTCCCATGGGCAGCGCTCAGAGTGTTTGTGCGGCAGATCAGAAGGGGTCCAATCAAGCCTGAGTGCACATCTTTTTCCTGAAAGACACCAGTCCTATGAGCAAAAGTTCTCTCACCCATGAACCAGAGTGGATTTCTCATCAACTTTTATGCCACTCCAACCCACTCCCCATCTTCCCACAGTACAATTTCTTCCTCTTTAGTAGATTCCAGAGCGATATGTCTAAGCCATAAATATGATGACACCTCCCCTATTTAAAGCTTCCCATTATGCTTAGGATAAATACCAAACTTCAAACATAACACAAAGACTCTTTCTTTTAAACCAGAAAGAGGCCAGCACAACATAGACCTGCTTACCAGATCAACATCAGAAAAATAAGCCCAGGCTTTGCAGTCAAACTCATCTTTAGTTGGTGCCATATGATGCTGCACTTTCCAGAAGTAAGTTTTGGTTTCATTAGGCTTGACAAACTTTTTTCTAGGTTCTGCTCCTTGCCTCTGATCTTCCTCATAAGAAATAAGGCTAGAATAGAAGGAGTAGGGACGAGATGCCTGGTTTTTAAATGTTACCTGCAGAGCAAGAAAAAAAAAGAAAAGAAATAAAAAAAGCAAGTGTTATGTTTTAAGATCTTGTAAAGTTCTTAGGTTAGGGTTTATATCCCTAATAGCAATGCCAATTTGGGGGGGTTTTATCCAGGTTTTTAATAGCTGGAGGAAATAGTACAGAGTATGGATGTTGTTAGAACCCAAACCTAAAGATCTACAAAAGAAACTGAGACATTTTCGAATTCCAAAATCTTTATGGGATGAACTCAAAGTTGCAAAGGAGAAAATTTCTAAATACTTAAAAGCAATTCCAAAGTAAAAGGGAAAATATCACCACAGGGGTTTTAAGAGACCCTAACTCCAGGAACTGATACTCTTAAATTAAGGTTCTTCATGACAAATGCCAGGATGAATACTTATGATATTTAAAGAAGACTTGTTTTTCAAATTAAAAAAATTATACATTTTCATGCGACATATGGAAAGTAAAATAAAATTGAAGTCAGAAAAAAATTCACTCACAAGCCCATAATTTTAGATCCTCCTATATCCTTCATGTAAACAATCAATTGGGACAATGGATGACTGTTTCTGGAAAAAATAAAACTACCTTGATCTTTGGCTCACACACACCAAAAACAAATTCTAGTCTACAGCAATTATTAATGGATTAAAAAATTAAATGTTAAGAAATTAAACTGTAAAAGAAAGTTGAAAAAAGTATAGGTGATTTTAAGAAAAACATCTCTGTATAGGGAAGGATTTTAATAAACAAAAAAGCTATGAAAGTGTCATAAAGGAAAGATTTATGGGTTACTACCTAAAATTTCAAACCTGTTTTATTTTAAAAACCATTATATACAAAATTAAGAGAAAACAAACTTGGAAAAATATTATTCACTAAAATGATCAATGATCATTAATATATCAATGATCTATAATATACAAGGTAATATAAATGAACAAGAAAAGCACTCCCTCCAAAAATTTCAACTATGCAAAGAACATTAATAGATAATTCATTAGAGAAAGTCTTAAAATGTTCATGTACATTGCACTCCTGGAATTTTATCCTAGGAAAAGGGTTGTGGCTGCAGCATTACTTAAATAGTGAAAAAAAAAAAAGAAACTATCTAAAAGGTTGTTCAGAGTAGATGGTTAAGTAAACCAAAAAATCATATAATGGACTAATATTCCATCATTTAAAAATATACGTAGGGTTTTTGTTTCCTGGTGCGCGAGGAGAAGGGATTCAGAGCGCCGCTTAAAGGAGCTCCAGAGACAGGTGCGAGCCGCGGCTAACAGCGCGGACCCCAGAGACGGGCCGGAGACGCTAAGGCTGCTGCTGCCGCCACCAAGAAGCCTCTGTGTGAGCACAGGTCACTCTCCACACCCCCCTTCCGGGGAGCCTGTCCAGCTCGCCACTGCCAGGGTCCCGGGATCCAGGGACAACTCCCCCGGGAGAACGCACGGCACGCCTCAGGCTGGTGCAACATCACGCTGGCCTCTGCCGCCGCAGGCCCGCCCCGCACTCCGCGCCCCTCCCTCCCCCCCGGCCTGAGTGAGCCAGAGTCCCCGAATCAGCTGCTCCTTTAACCCCGTACTGTCTGAGCGCAGAACAGACGCCCTCCAGCGACCTACACGCAGAGGCGGGGCCAAATCCAAAGCTGAGCCCCTGGGAGCTGTGCGAACAAAGAAGAGAAAGGGAAATCTCTCCCAGGAGCCTCAGAAGCAGCGGATTAAATCTCCACAATCAACTTGATGTACCTGCATCTGTGGAATACCTGAATAGACAACAAATCATCCGATTGAGGAGGTGGACTATAAGAGCAAGATTTATGATTTTTTCCCCTTTTCCTCTTTTTGTGTGTATGTGTATGCTTCTGTGTGAGATCTTGTCTGTATAGCTTTGCTTTCCCCATTTGTCCTAGGGTTCTATCCGTCCGTTTTTTTTTTTCCTCTTAATAATTATTTTTTTTACTTTAATAACTTTATTATATTTTATCTTTATTTTATTTTACTTTCTTT